GGGGAGCAAGGGGAGCGGGGAGCCGGGAGCGCAGGGCCGGGGACAAGGGGCCCGGCAGAGCTGTGTCCATGTCAGCCACAAGCAAGGCGAGGGTCGCTGCCCAGAAGAAAAGGCCAAGAGGCCCCCTGAGCGGCGCCTCCAAGTGGACACGAGGATCAGCCTGCCCCTTTGTGTCTCCAAGCGAACCCACGTTCCGGTCACAAAGGAACCCTGAGAGGGGCGCGACACCCCTCGTACTGCAACCGCCGTGCTCCTGGGGTCCAACCTGCAGTGGCACAAACGCCCCGTCGTGGCTTTTACTGGTCAGTCACGGGCCAGTGTTTCCATCTTGCCCCTCACGGCCAGTTACCCCCCAACAGCCGGGCTGCCAAGGGCGCCCCCCCCCCGCACCCCGAAACGGCCCGCACAGACCTGGGTTTAGAAGTCCAAGACAAGGAAAAACAGGTTTGAGAACAACTTTTATTCCACAGAATCAAGATTCTTAGGTTCCGCCGGAGCTTCGGACTCAGGCTAACTGCGCCGCCCCGATGCCCCTGCGGGCTCAAGGCCCCAACACGCACCCCTGCAGCGCCCCCTCGAGCAGCAGGCGCGCTGACCCCCAGGGCCGCTGCAGAGGACGAGGCTTCGCGGCACGCGCGGCACCGGCTGGTGTTCAGCCACGTCCAGCCCCGAGCGAGCCCCGACCTGCTCCCGAGTCCTGCGCGTCCAGGGCCCCTCACAGCTGGCCACGGCGTCGGCCGCAGGTCTGGGAGTTCACACACGCCACCAGGACCCGCGCGGAGACGCAGGGCCGCGCCGCATGGCCAGGGGGCGCTGACCTCTGCCCCATCGGCCCCGCCGGGGCGGCGTGACCCTGCCGCGTGGCGGCGCCCAGACACGGAAACACCAGCACACACGAGCCGTTTCAGCTGCTTTATTCGTCGCGGGCTGACTGGGAGCTACTAAGCGCAGCGGACACGGAGCGGCTCTGCACCGCCCGGCCTCGGCGCCAGGCCACACCCCGGCCGCTCCTCAGCACCCGC